GACCAATTATGTAAGTGTATTTATGTAAGTGCGTTTGTATGTGTATGTTTGGGGGTCTGAAATGGACTAATCTACTTCACAATATTTCTTATGGGAACAAATTCGGTCAGTACCGGCACCTGAACATACTTCTGGAGTGAAAAAATATCGTTAACCGGGGGTCCACTGTACTTGCAACATCTGCCACATTGCTCCTCTATCCACTCTATCATATGCCTTTTCTAAATCCATAAATGCAATAAAAACTTCCCTACCTTTATCTAAATACTGTTCACATATATGCTTCAATGTAAACACTTGATCTACACATCCCCTACCCACTCTGAAACCTCCTTGCTCATCCGCAATTCTACATTCTGTCTTACCTCTAATTCTTTCAGTTATAACCCTACCGTATACTTTTCCTGGTATACTCAGTAAACTTATTCTCTATAATTTTTACAATCTCTTTTGTCCCCTTTCCCTTTATATAAAGGGACTATACATGCTCTCCGCCAATCCCTAGGTACCTTCCCCTCTTTCATACATTTATTAAACAAAAGTACCAACCACTCCAACACCTATATCCTCCCCTGCTTTTAACATTTCTGTCATGATCCCATCAGTTCCAGCTGCTTTACCCCCTTTATTCTACGTAATGCCTCACGTACCTCACCACACTTACATTCTGCTCTTCTTCACTCCTAAAAGAGGGTATACCTCCCTGGCCAGTGCATGAAATTACCGCCTCCCTTTCTTCCTCAACATTTAAAAGGTTCTCAAAATATTCTCGCCATCTACCTAATACCTCCCTCTCCCATCTACTAACTCCCTACTCTGTTTTTAACTGACAAATCCATACTTTCCCTAGGTTTCTTAACTTGTTTAACTCACTCCAAATTTTTTTCTTATTTTTCATTAAAATTTCTTGACAGTGCCTCTCCACTCTTTCATCTGCTCTCCTTTTGCACTCTCTCACACTCTCTTCACCTTTCTTTTACTCTCCATATACTCTGCTCTTCTTATAACACTTTGCTTTGTAAAAACCTCTCGTAAGCTACTTTTCTCTTTAATCACACCCTTTACTTCATCATTCCACCAATCACTCCTCTTTCCTCCTGCCCCCACCCTCCTATGACCACAAATTTCTGCCCCACATTCTAATACTGCATTTTTAAAACTATTCCAACCCTCTTCAACCCCCCACTACTCATCTTTGCACTAGCCCACCTTTCTGCCAATAGTCGCTTATATCTCGCCCGAACTTCCTCCTCCCTTAGTTTATACATTCATCAATATCTGTATAGATTTCTAGCTCAGTGTGCCAGTCATTGTTTGTTACTGCTGTTGTGAAGTTATTAATGGCTGCCTCATTGTGAAGTCTGAAGGTGACTTTAGTAGTGTCTTGGGGTAATTTACCAAGAGTTGTTATGAGGAAAGTATGGTAGTGGTCTGTGGTATTATCTGTGATTATGCCTGATTTTAAAGGGGATATGGTGTTGGTCCAGATGTAGTCAAGTAGGGGAACACTAGTCTCTGTAACTCTTGTAGGTTTTGTTACTGTTGGTAGCAACAAGCAGTTACTCATAGTGTTTGTGAATTCAGTAACGTGTGGGTCCTGGTCTTGCAGGAGATTTATATTGAAGTCACCTGAGAGTAGTAAGTGATCTTTGTTCATGCGTGCATCAGTTATCATACTTCCTAGGTTTTGACTAAATTGGCTAATGTTTGACTGTGGAACTCTGTAGATGTTTATCAATGTGAGAGGTTTTTATAGGTATTTGGATTTGAATTTAGCTATTATATATTCCCCATGTTCATCCCTTGTGCAAGTATTAGTGATACATTCTAGTTGGTCTGAGTAGCATATAGCTGTGCCACTCCCTTGTTGGTCTGGCCTACAGTTGTGTATGGCTGTGTAACCAGGAATGGCATAGACATCAGTAGTATCAGGCTTTAGCCAGGTTTCAGTTAGTGTAATGATGGACATATTGGCATGCAAGGAATTTAGTAATGCTATGAGGTCATCGTAATGCTTGCTTAAAGATCTGATATTGTAGTTAAAGACAGTTATGTTGTTGTTGGCTCTGAGGAGTGCCTTTGATTGTTCTGCTGTGTAGTAATTACAGTAACTGTTTGATTCATTTAAGTCATTAAATAAGAGGTTGGTATCAGGACCAATGCTTGTAATCATAAGATTTGTAGTGAATCTATAGTTAGAATTAAGTATAAAACAAAGTAAATAGTCAATAGGCATTTCATCCACCAGGGGCTTTATCAATTGATAAAGTCACTGGTGGTCAAAAGTATTCTCAGTAAAATTCTGTAAACTGTATATTGTGTCTTATTTACATACTTGTCAGTATATAATACCATTGATATAGTACATGCATACAGCAGGCACAATGCTGTATCGACTCAGCCACAGAGTTCATAATAGGATGATTTTACACCCAGCACTTCCGTGACATGGTTGTATCAGTGGCACTAACTGTCACCCTACTGTCTTATCCCACAGCCCCAGAAGCTTCTGTGGTATTGCACATCATTCATGTACAGTGGACCCTCAGTTATCAGCCGTAATCTGTTCCAGAAGGTCAGCCTAAATCCAATAAGACCGATAACCAAAATAATATTTCCCATAAGAATATAAATACAATTGTAATCTGTTCCAGACACCCAACAATATTAACAAAAAATTAATTTTTTAAAGATTAACTATAGTTTTACATACAGAAAACAACGAGAAAGAAATATAAAGCACTAATTTTACTAATACATGAACATTACATACCTTTATTAAAGACTCTTGTTGGCATATGGAAGAAGGCGAGGAGGGGAGAGGGAGTTGGGGTTATTGTTTGGAAGGGGAATCCCCCTCCATAAGGACTTCAGGTATCAAAGCCCTCTCTGGAGTTACTTCCATTCTTTGTCTTTTACTGCCACTAGGACCAGCTTGAGAGTCACTGCACCCCTGTTGCACAAAAAAACTGTCCAGAGAGGTCTGTTTCTGGCACCTCTTTAAGATTTGCCTGAAGTGGGACAAGGTTTTGTTACTGAACATGTTGCAAACATGGCTTGAGCTTGGTCAGGGTGATATTTCTCCATGAAACTTTGCAACTCACTCTACTCTACACACGTCCTTAATCACTGAAAAAGGCACATTCTCCCCTCTTTCTTCCTCCTCCTCTGAAGCAGTTTTGTCAGCTGTGGTTTGTTGCTGTTGCAGATGAAGGTCTTGCAGCTCTTGAGTGATTAGCTCTTCCTTGTGGTCCTCCACCAATTCTTCCATATCCTGGCCACTCACATCCAACCCCATGGACTTCCCCAGAGCCACAATACATTCTGCAACAGGCAGAGGGTTGACAGGGTCAGGGTCAGCCTCAGCCTCAAACCCTTCAAAATCCTTCTCATGGACACATTCTGGCCACAATTTTCTCCAAGCAGAGTTCAAAGCCCTGGAAGTCACTCCCTGCCAAGCCTTACCTATAAGGCTTATGCAGTGGAGGATACTGAAGTGATTTCTCCAGAACTCTCTTAGGGTCAAGTCAGTCTCCAAGGTCACTTCAAAGCACCTTTGAAACATTGCTTTTGTGTAGAGTTTTTTTGAAGTTAGAAATGACCTGTTGGTCCATGGGCTGGATGAGAGGAGTGGTGTTAGGAGGCAAGAACGTCACTGTTATAAAACTTAATTCTACAGACAATTGGTCTACCAAGTTTGGAGGATGAACAGGAGCATTGCCCAGTACCAGGAGGCACTTGAGTGGCAATTTATTTTCCTGGAGATATTTTTTCACATGGGCCAAACACTTCATGGACCCAATCAATGAAATTTTGCCTTGTGACCCATGCCTTATTATTAGCTTTCCACAGCACACACAGTTTAGTCTTGACAACATTGTTTTTCTTGAACACTGGGACTTTCAGAGTGACACCAGTAAAGGCTTCACTTTGAATTCCCCACTAGCATTACCACAGAACAAAAGAGTAAGCCTATCCTTCATAGGCTTGTGTCCTGGCAGTGCCTTTTCCTCCTGTGTGGTGTAGGTCCTCTTTGGCATTTTCTTCCAAAAGAGGCCTGTTTCATCACAATTGAACATTTGTCGGGGGAGGAATCCTTCAGCCTCTGCGTACTCCTTGAATTCATGCACAAATTCTTCAGCCGCATATTTGTTTGAACTTGAAGCCTCGCCATGCCTCACAACACTGTGTATGCCACTACGCTTCTTAAATCTCTCAAACCAGCCTTTGCTGGCCTTAAATTCACTAACAGCCTTGCCTTTTCACAAATGATCGACTCCACAACACTATCTCCCACTAATTGCTTATCGTTGATCCACACCAACAATAACTTCTCCACATCTTCAGTTATTGGAAGCAACATTAGCTTCCTTGATTTCTACTTTCCTTGGCAGGATGGAAGTGATTGTTGATTTGGATTTCCCGTACATCCTGGCAAGCTCCAGGACATGTACACCATTCTCGTACTTTGCTATAATTTCTTTCTTGAATTCTATCATGTTTCACACTTTCTTACCAATGGGCTGGCACTAGGAACTTTCTTTGGGCCCATGGTGGCTTATTTTGCAGTTGCACTCAATAAACAACCACAAAAAAAATGGATTATAACGAAATGTTTGGATGAACGCGCAGAGCCTTGCTCACCCACCCAGAGACACAGCCAGACTGACTCATGAATGTGGTGTGGTGGGCGGGCGGATGCATCCAATATGGCCGATTCCAAGTTGCCGGCCGAAATCCAAGATAGAATTTCAGCCAAAAAAGCAGCCGAAATCCAAATTGGCCAATATCCAAGGGTCCACTGTACCTCTTGAAGCCATTTAGTCCATAAACCCAAGATATGTAATGAAGGAAGGACTCTGTGGTTGTATATTATTTTCAAGTTCTTAATATTTTATTAGTGTCAGATTGTTTCTTACAGGCCTTTTCAATTTCATTTTATTATGACAGCAGATCACTGATGCTCTTACGAGCTTACCAAAGTTAATGATTTTTTTCAGGTCTCAGAGGAAAGTGCAAGAGAATGTGTCCGAAATGCTCAGGTATAGTTTCAGTGGGTAAATACAATTGTGACTGTGGTTATAGTTTCAAGGAGGAAAAACAGATGAAGAAACGAAAGAGAGATTCCCACTTACTAGAAATGGGCAGGAGAGCCAGTAAAAATAGAAACCTCTGGCGGGCATTTAATGCTATAGAGAAGCAGGTACAGTACAAAACTATATTTTATTATGTTACTGGGGGTATCTAGTTTATTCTGTTAAAACATGGGTACCAGAACCAGTGAAAATTAATCCTCCTTAGAAATGCCAAATTAAGTCGTATATTTTAAATTTTGGGTAATAGGTTGCAGTCTGACTTGCCAATTTTGACAGGATATGGTAAATTAATTTCTATTAGTTGAAAGCTCATCAAAAAAATTCTTTAAATTCAGTTTCTTAAATATTTTTAGATATTCCTGAAGTGAGATCTTTAACCCTTTGACTGTCGCAACCCCAAATCCTGAAGTGTCTCCTGGTGTCAAAAAATTTTTGGAAAAAAAAAAATATATTTTTCTTATGAAATGATAGAGAATCTTTTCCCAATGGTAATGATACCAAAAGTACAAAATTTGATTGAAAACTTAAGGAATTACACTCCCACGAAGTTAGCAATCTCGGTGATATATACACATCGGCGATTTTGCCGAATTTGACCCCTATTTTCGGCCAATTCTATTGTTCCAGTCGACCAAACTCATAGCTATTTCTTTAGAACTCCATTTTTTCTATCAATTGAGTACAAGATACCGCCCATTTACCGATTTCAGTTACCCAATAAAGTGGTCAGAAATTGGCAATTTGGCCAATTTCACACAAAGTAAAAAAGATGCCAGTTTCAAAGTAGGTTCCAGAATAAATAATGCAGACATTCTTGGCACTAAAATAACATATCCTCTGTTCATTAGTCATGTCTCCAGGCCCCTCTTATATTACTTGTGCTTTCTATTTTGATTTTTTATTCACACAAAAAATAGAAGATTTACTGTTATGCAGAGTACTGCATTATTGTAAAAATAGTATAAATAATATCAGTGCACTACTAAAACAATATTAGACTTCCCAGTTGACGTGTATTGGATGTGTGGTGTGATTTGCTTAATTTCAAAGTCGTTTTCTTCATGAAACTAATGAAAATCATCTCTATTTCTGTAATATGTTTTCCATTCTATCAAATGAGACCAAGAAAACGAGAATACAGCCATAAATACTATAGGAAAATACACCTCAGAATTGGCGTTTTAATCTAAAAACACGGTCGGAGTTTTTTTTTTCTCTCATGCACTGCGTGCTGCAGGACTTTTTTTTATACAGTGCACAGTGACCACACAGACCCATTCTCTTGCATGTGGGCCTACCAGCTGTCTCGTGCTTGATTTGAAGCCATTAGAATTATTGAGTATATATACTACGTCCAAAACACAGGCCCGTAAGACGTATATTTACGGCCAAAACAGTCAAAGGGTTAAGAGTTTGCCTTATTTTTTTATTATTTCTTATTTTTTCTTGCATTTTTTCATTTTTATTTTGCTCATAACTCGTAAAGACCTTATTTAGTTGACTTCAAAATTTCAACCCTTGTACATGATCATTGGGGCCAGATTCTTGGAACAATTGGCATGCTCATGTGCACTATAGCCATTGTTGCACTCATTCCCAGCATCCTGAACTGGCTCAGATAACTTCCAAAGCCCTCAGTGGCATAGCTTTAAACGTTCAAGAAAAATGCTTCCTAATTCAGCTATAGCAGAGAGTGAAATTCAAGTGGTGTTGGTGAAGATTTTACCATTTAGTGTGTAAAATTGTATAAAAAAAAATTTCTCATTACATCCCTTTAAATAAATTTTAGTTTGCCTCTTCTGAATGATCTCAGTATTTATTGGCTGATGCATCTTAGGGCCAGGATAGTACCCACTAAGTTTTACTTGCATGCAGGCAAATTTGTTGATGTAGTAAAATAATTAAAAAAAACTAGAAATTGTTGGAATCTGTGCCATAACTAAAGAATGACTTGTTTGATAATCTTCAGATATTTATCACTGGTGTGGTTTCCTGACTACAAGGCTCATGCTGTTACTAGGTGGCATAAGTCTCAAATCTACATAATGTTTATTTAGTAAATCTCACTTAATTCATTATTTACATACATACTTAAACATTCATACTTAAACTCTGGTAAATCTTATTTAGAGAAAAGTTTGGATTTATTTTGGCCTTTATTGGTCCCAGTTTACCTTTTTTTTACTTGTAGAAGAAACTGTCAAAGTTAAAATACTAATTTGTACGTGATAATTTCTGAGTGCTGATAACTTGATATGCACTAATTCAAATTCTAACTGGCTTCAAATGTAATATGCTGGTGTATTTTAGGATATTGGTCCCTATAAGATAACAAGAGAATTGCTCTTTAGTTTGGCTTCAAAGATGGTGTTTCTTAGTGAAAAGTTTGAATTAGTTTAGTTCTGCATATGTCCTAATTTGTCATTTGTATTGAAAAAATGGGATATTAGTGTCCATGTGATAATTTATGAATACCAAATCTGATTCCCTTCAAATCTTTAACACTAATACTTTATCACTTTACAACCTTATGCCACACTCTTCACCAGTCCTTTTTGAATGCATTGATGTAGAGGGACCAGTGGTTATGCAGTGTAGGGATACCTTTCTCAGGTCATGCAGCGGCTAATGTACATACATGTAGTTTAATTGAAACCCTTTTAAGGGCAGACATTTGTGACTTATAATGTTAGGTGTATTTTCATATTGTACAATTGCATTTTGATTAGTTATCTCATTCTCTGGAAATTCATGTTTCATTATTATTACTGTAATCACTATTATTGGAAGTACATACAATAAACATGTCAACATATTAAAATTGAGATGGTATAAATCAGAATTTTTACATATTTCCTTCAGACATAAAAAAAAAGTAGCAGTAGTGGCATGCCACTAATTTTTATAACAAGTAGTATTTGCAGTGTTATTATTTTAACCCCATTACTGTGGCATAACCTGATATTCAAATTCTTGTGTGTGTGGCAAGATTTTGAAAAATATAAAAGCATTGCATAGACTGATATTGCCCTACAAGCAATATATAGTTTAAATTAGAGCAAATAATTTTTTTTTACTGTTTTTGTCTTTTAACACTATGTGCAAGGAATACTTATAATATTACAGTTGTTTCAAGGTATAATTCATCCTGGCAGTTCCACATCCTGTTTACTGGTAAGGAAACAACAGGTCTTGGTTTCATTATTTACGTACCTATGCTGGTTAGGCATTGTTACCCCATGATACAGTGTTTGGACCCATCTGGTCTTAAATTTGTTTTTCCTAAGGCCTGAGAAGGTTATAGGAGACCCAAACAGTTGAACTGAGATAAAAAATATTGGCAGGTGGCATATTTGCAGGCATGAAAATTTGTGCATGGTGGCACATAGAATACAATTATCACCTGCATCTTAGTATGTTGGACACAGAATGTTAAACAAATATAAATAGAATAAAAGGAAAGACATTGGAGAAAGGTTGAACAATTGCCTTCTTATGATTTATTAAGTTTTATGGAATATTAGTTTTCCCTGTAAAATAAAGTGTGCTTGTTCTGAGTGCCATCAAACTTTTATGGCTGATGTATCATATGCAAATGATAATTTTTTTCTGTTTCACCTTTATAGATGCAAATTTACTGTTTTACTAACATAGTTAATAAACTTATGATTCTCGGAGTCTGTTTGATAACTAGAGAATGCATCTTTCGATTGACTTCAAACTTTTAGTGATGATGTGTGTTTTCAAAGGATCCTTTGCATTGATTTTGCCAGTTTTATTGTTTTTATTTGTGCAATTAGTGGAGAATGCCTCTTCTGATAGACTTCAAACATGAAGAACTAGTTCATGTAACGTAGGTATTTAACAGTATTAGAAATTTATTCCACCCTCTGTACTGTTCATTTTGTTTGCATTCAGGGAGATGAGGCTAGGCTTGTGGAGTATGAGGATACCTTTCTTGAATTGCTCAGTGACTTAAATATGTACATCTAAGTTTCACATTCACATTGATTTCATTTTAGATGTCTTCTACAATGCTTTGACATGTTTATTTTGTCCTCCCTCCTTTCTGGCAGTGGTAGTGCAATCTTTTGTGGATTCTCACTATGACTTCATAACTGACACTGATCTGCTACACTGACTGACCCATTTTTTTTTTTTAACCTTTATCCACCCACCATCACCTCCAGCACTTACCCTCTACTGTCTCTCTCACTCTTGTTGTGTAACTTCCCCTCTACTGTCTCCCTCACTCTTGTGTTAACTTCCCTTCTAGTGTCTCCTTCACTCTTGTTGTGCTAACTTTACCTCTACTGTCTCCTTCACTCTTGTGTTAACTTTCCCTCTACTGTCTTTCTCACTCTTGTTGTGTAACTTAAACCTCTACTCTTTCTTTCACTCTTTTTGTGTAATGTTCCCTCTACTGTCTCTTCATTCTTGCCACCTAGCAATGATCAAACCACATGGGTTTAATGCTTTCCATGAATATAATTATATATTCAAATTATTAATTAAACTTTTGCTATTAAATGGAAATCAGAAACATTGTTCTCATTTTTCAGAGCATCAAAATACAAGCTGGAGGCTACAACTTTGTGTGCCTCTACTACAAAGAATGTCCAACAAGAAACTTGAAGGGTATTGTTGGGGGAGAGTGGATCAAGAAAAATGATGTCGATTTACTGTTGCATTTATTTTGTAATGGTGAGTACACATGTTAATATTTTTTCCTTTGTTTTAGGTTAATTAAATGCATTTTTTATATGTTTGGCATGATACAATTTGGTTAGGAAATTTGACTTTTATTTTTACAATATTTATAAATCTTGTTACAACCAGCTCATCCCAGTAGGCTCAAGTTAACCTTCCCCACAGTCCTTAAGTGCTTCAAGTAATGACTAATGCAATGTAAGATTAGATAAACTGGAGTAATTTTTACCTACTTGAATAATAGAAAGTAGATGTTTGACAAATTTAGAGGTGTGTGGAACATAACCATATTTTTCCCATATGTTCTTCACTTCATGCAACACGAATTTTAACCCTTTCACTGTTGGTGTTGTAGTACTATGGCTTGCGAACCAATGTTGGTGCCATAGTACATGTACTTCGCCAAAATTTTAGCGGCTTCATATCTAGCGGGAGAAAGCTGGTAGACCTACATGTGAGAGAATGGGTCTGTGTAGTCAGGGTGCACAGTATAAAAAAAATTGGGGAGGCCGCAGTGCATTATGGGAGTGCTAATTCAATACGCCTTGGTCACCAAGCCTAGCGGTAAGGAATACCTCACTCCCCAGCGAATTGGGATTCTTCTCTTCCCAAGTGATAGTTCTGACACAGATTGAAGTGTCAGTGAAGATGAATCTCATGGTTTTGAGGAGTTTGTAAATGGCAGCAATGCCCAAAATACCAGAAATAGTGCTGAAAACCCAGATGATCAACAGCCTATCACCTCTGGTGCTGGGCCATCCCTTTCGTGTTCACTTGTACCACAGCAAAAGAGGGAACTCATATTTTCCCATGTCTCAAAGAATAAGTAAGTTTATTCAGGTATACACAAATACAGTTACATAGATTATCATACATAGCATATGGTGGGGAAGACAGTGTGGGTCATGGGGAAGGCAGCATGGGTGATGGGAAAAGGCAGCGTGGGTTTGTGTAACAGCATAGCAGCATATGTGTAGATTACCAAAGATAACCCAAAAAAGTCAAAGTGACTTATTTCCATGTGAGTGGTGGGGAAGACAGCATGGTTGGTGGGGAAGGCAGCATGGGTGGTGGGGAAGGCTGCATGGTTGGTGGGGAAGACAGCATGGTTGGTGGGGAAGGCAGCATGGTTGGTGGGGAAGGCAGCATGGTTGGTGGGGAAGGCAGCATGGGTGGTGGGGAAGGCAGCATGGGTGGTGGGGAAGGCAGCATGGGTGGTGGGGAAGGCAGCATGGGTAATGGGGAAGGCAGCGTGGGTTTGTGTAAACAGGTTTTGTAAACAATACAATAATGTTTGTGTCGCATACAGTGAGTGGATATATATACATTATGCATTATATTGGTCTCACAGGCCTCAAAAGTTACTTGAAAAAATTAAATATTAGAAAAGAAAAGAAAAAATACAATGAAAGTAAAAATAATATTACCGAGTGAGCGGAAGTCGCCGATGTTGTCGTAAGCAGCTCACTTTCTGTCAACTTCACGCCTCTAGATCTCGGTAAGTATTGATTGCAATTTTTTTTTTTTTAAACAATCAGAAAAAATATTCTTAACATTTTGGTAAGAAATTTTTTTTTTTCCCCGAATATTTTTCGACACTGAGAGCAAGTTCGTGAGCAGGGGTCTTTACAATTAAAGGGTTAGGTTAGATGCAGTTTGTCAGGAATGCAACTTGTACATTAATTGAGAGCTTACTGTATCTGTTTTACTTATTTATTTGTAAATAATGCTGAAAATTATATATTTCACTTTATTATGCAGCACGTAATATCTTTAAGGAAAACAATAACAAAAAAATTATTGGTATTTTAAAAGCATATTTTTCAGGATTTCATATCTTTTGCAGTAATTAAATCATCAGACAATGAGGAGGAACTACTACAACTACCACAAGATAGGCACAGTGAGGAGCAGCTAGCAAAAAATAAGCAACAAGCACAAATACCACAAGTGACAGATACACAGGAAAGTCAAAAACAAGAAACACAACCAACAGTAACCCTTCAAATGGGCTAAAGACATGATAAGTTAAAGTACTCTCAGTAATACAATACTGTTATTATTATTATTATTATTATTGAAAAAGTGCCAAACCAGTATAGATCATATATTGCAGCAGTATTGTTATAACATCATTCTATATTAGAGAGGGAGGTTTGGGTTTTGGAGCTAGGCAAGGATTTCACAAAAATTATTGACCTGCATATTTAAAATACTAACACTCCTTTTCAAGTCTAAAATAAATTTATTTGTAGTAATTAATCCAAACTTGTCACTTGCATGCCAGTAAATAAAGTGATTCATTTAGCAGATGAGTTTCATTGTTTTCAGTATCTAATTACATGGCTTTCTAGGCTCGTGTGTTTAATTTTTGGAAAGTGTACAGGTCAAGGGCTGGTTATTTCCTTGTAGCTTTATTATTATTTTTTACAAATTTTCTCTTAATTCAATTATTAATTTTAATCAATTGTTTTAGATTTGTACTAGGGTATTCTTGAAGATCATTTGTGGAATTTATTATTACACCTTGATGCTGGCAAAGGACTCTTGATCTAAGGAACTGAACTTATCCCTTCCCTTCCTTGGATCAACCCTGATTGCCTCCTGTTCTGCAGGTTCTGCACGACCCTATGGGTTTAGCACCTCCAGATGGTAAAAAATTTTTATTACAAGGATTATTACTATGTATTCAGGGAAAGTTTTTCTTCTTCTCTTTTTTAGTAATTGTATACAGGAGAAGGGGTTACTAGCCCATTGCTCCCGGCATTTTAGTCGCCTCATACGACACGCATGGCTTACGGAGGAAAGATTCTTTTCCACTTCCCCATGGACAATAGAAGAAATAAAAAAGAACAAGAGCTATTTAGAAAAAGGAGAAAAACCTAGATGTATGTATATATATATATGCATGTGCGTGTCTGTGAAGTGTGACCAAAGTGTAAGTAGGAGTAGCAAGATATCCCTGTTATCTTAGCGTGTTTATGAGACAGAAAAAGAAACCAGCAATCCTACCATCATGCAAAACAGTTACAGGTTTTTGTTTCACAGTCATCTGGCAGGACGGTAGTACTTCCCTGGGTGGTTGCTGTCTACCAACCTACTACCTATGATAACAAAAAAAATAGGTGATGAAAGATTGAATATCAGATTGGAGGGAGAGAGTATGGAGGAGGTGAACGTATTCAGATATTTGGGAGTGGACGTGTCAGCGGATGGGTCTATGAAAGATGAGGTGAATCATAGAATTGATGAGGGAAAAAGAGTGAGTGGTGCACTTAGGAGTCTGTGGAGACAAAGAACTTTGTCCTTGGAGGCAAAGAGGGGAATGTATGAGAGTATAGTTTTACCAACGCTCTTATATGGGTGTGAAGCGTGGGTGATGAATGTTGCAGCGAGGAGAAGGCTGGAGGCAGTGGAGATGTCATGTCTGAGGGCAATGTGTGGTGTGAATATAATGCAGAGAATTCGTAGTTTGGAAGTTAGGAGGAGGTGCGGGATTACCAAAACTGTTGTCCAGAGGGCTGAGGAAGGGTTGTTGAGGTGGTTCGGACATGTAGAGAGAATGGAGCGAAACAGAATGACTTCAAGAGTGTATCAGTCTGTAGTGGAAGGAAGGCAGGGTAGGGGTCGGCCTAGGAAGGGTTGGAGGGAGGGGGTAAAGGAGGTTTTGTGTGCGAGGGGCTTGGACTTCCAGCAGGCATGCGTGAGCGTGTTTGATAGGAGTGAATGGAGACAAATGGTTTTTAATACTTGACGTGCTGTTGGAGTGTGAGCAAAGTAACATTTATGAAGGGATTCAGGGAAACCGGCAGGCCGGACTTGAGTCCTGGAGATGGGAAGTACAGTGCCTGCACTCTGAAGGAGGGGTGTTAATGTTGCAGTTTAAAAACTGTAGTGTAAAGCACCCTTTTGGCAAGACAGTGATGGAGTGAATGATGGTGAAAGTTTTTCTTTTTCGGGCCACCCTGCCTTGGTGGGAATCGGCCGGTGTGATAATAAAAATAATATAAAAATATTCAGGGAAAGCATTCAAGCAAAAGGGTCATGCAGCACTACATGGCAGAAATGTTGTAGTGGAGCAGGAGAGGTGAGGTGCTGGGGGCAGGATTTTACCATCAAGGAGATGGGAACTGTGGGTCATGTAGCAAATTGGTGTCAGTCAGAAAATCATGGACATTCTTCGTTAACCCTTAAACTGTTAGCAGTAAGTACTGATAATTCCTGTGGTTCTTTTATTTTATCTTATTATAGTACATGTTAAACCATTCACAAAAGCCAATCCCCAAAAAATAATAGGGCCATACTATTCTATTCAAATTCAGATTCAAATTTCTATTTCACTTTTGATGAACAAAGATAATGTAGTTTACATGTAATAATACATTATTAGGTACGAAAAAAGCAATTAGTATACAAATGCATTTCTGGCAAACTAATGCAAATGCTGAAAGACTACTTAAGAATTTGGCATAGACTATTAAGTTAGATTTTTTATGCAGCTAATTACAGTTATATGTAAATAAGAAAGGTAGCTAAATGTACAATGGTAAAATTTTTAAAAGTAAGACTTATTAGTTTAATCTGATAAAAAAATCATCAGTTAAGTAGGACTTCTTAAGCAATTAACTACAGTTATATGCACTATAAGAAAGTTAGCAAATGTTCGAATGGAGCCGTTTTAGAAGTATGATTTATTATTTCTGATTGATTCAGTGATCCTCAGTTTTGTGGAGTGATTGAACAGAGATGGTGGAGATAAGGAAGATACAGTAGAGATATAATGGCATAAGGTGAGTAGTTAATTTTCTATGGGAGTTGGAGGAAGACTAGAAGAAGAACATGGACAGAGTTGTTTTGAAGCTTAGCTCCCTGAAGCCTGTTTGCACTGGTGGTAGAAATTATCCATAGCATCAAATTGTTTATTATATATATCACATACAATTATAGTTTTTCTAAGCTTTCTTTTTTTTTTATAACTATACAATGTATACAAGTGTTCATTATTGTTATGAATGTGTACTAGGGTTTAAGGAATGTGTTTAGGGTGTGGGACTTTCTGATGCATGGTTTAAGGCATATGTACCAGGGTTTGGTGCTCCCTGATGCCTGGTTTGAAGACTGTGTTCCAGGGTGTGGTACTCCCTGATGCATGATTTAAGGAGTGTGTACCAAGGTGTGGTACTCCCTGATGCATGGTTGCAGGCTCTACTACCACGCCAGTCTTTGTATAGTCGCATTGCTTGATGTGGATTCTCTTTGTACAAATTCATTTATTTCTACCAGGAATCCACTATATGTAATAAACTAGTCACTCATCATAACTGGATTGGGCAGTTACTGTGTCGTTTGAACTCATATGCGATCACCCAAATCCAGCACCATAATTTTTAACAAAATTACTGTAAATATCACTCTTATCTGATTTTATTGCATGCATAAAGAGCTCACACTTTTTGGCACAGATTGGTCAAGAACTGTTTTATCGTTTGTTTCTATTAAGGATGAATTAAAGCCTCTCCTCACTTAACGATGGAGTTCCGTTCCTAAGACCACGTCAGTAAACGAATTTCTCACTAAGTGAGGAGCATTCTATAATGGTAGTGGGTTTGTGTTAACTATCTTTCATATTGTTTTAATGTCACCTTTGCACCATTTATAACATTTCTAGTATACAGTGGTCCCTCAATAATCGTCCGGCCTGAAAGCCGTCCATTTCGAAAATAATCCCGTTATTTCGTCTAAACATTGGCTCGCAAATGGTCTGTTAACTCGGTAATCATCTTTCGTCCTGGACGCGTACTCACGGCTTTGAGCCGCCTCGGCCTCCCTTCCCAGCCGGTGTGCCATTGTTTACCAGTGAGCGACGGTCCCCTCACGTGTTCATACGAAATATTTCATAATATTCCATTCATTTTAGTGCTTGCAAGTGCTAAATAAGCTACCATGGCTCCAAAGAAAGCTCCTAGTGCCAAGCCTTTGGTAGAGAAGGTGAGAAATACAGTTGAATTTAAGAAAAACCATATCTTCCATCATAGCCAAGAAAAAGGAAATCACCAGTACTCGAAGATGTTGAGAAGTTATTATTGGTGTGGATAAACGAGAAACAATTAGCAGGAGATAGTCTTATGACGTCACTTATTTGTGAAAAGGCTTGGCAGTTGCATGACGATTTGGTAAAGAAATTGCCTGCAACTAATGGTGATGTGAGTGAATTTAAGGCCAGCAAAGGCTGGTTTGAGAGATTTAAGCGTACTGGCATACACAGTGTGATAGGGCATGGTTAGGCTGCCAGTTCGGACCAAAAAGCGGCTGAAAAATATGTGCAGGAATTCAAGGAGTACATAGAGGCTGAAGGACTGAAACCTGAACATGTGTTCAATTGTGACGAAACAGGCCTCTTTTGAAAGAAAATGCCAAAGAGGACCTACATTACTCAGGAAGAAAAAGCACGGACACAAGCCTATGAAAGACAGGCTGACGCTCATGTTCTGTGGTAATGCTAGTGGAGATTTCAAAGTGAAGCCGTTACTAGTGTACCATTATGAAAATCTCAGAGTGTTCAAGAAAAACGATGTTATGAAGAGGAAATTGTGTGTGTTTTGGAGATCTAATAATAAGGCATGGGTCACGAGGGACATTTTCGTCGAGTGGTTCAATGAAGTGTTTGGCCCTAGTGTGAAGAATTACCTCCTGGAAAAGAAATTGGATCTCAAGTGCCTCCTAGTAATGGACAATGCACCTGCTCATCCTCCAAACTTGGATGACCTAATTCTGAAGGAGTTTGGGTTCATCACAGTAAAGTTCTTGCCCCCGAATACTACTCCTCTCCTCCAGCCCATGGACCAGCAGGTCATTTCAAACTTTAAAAAACTCTACACCAAAGCAATGTTTGAAAGGTGCTTTAATGTGACCTCAGACACTCACTTGACCCTAAGAGATTTTTGGAAAGAACACTTCAGTATTCTCCATTGCATAAGCCTTATAGGTAAGGCTTGGGAGGGAGTGACTACCAGGACTTTGAACTCTGCTTGGAGAAAATTGTGTCCACAAGAGGGATTATGAAGGGTTTGAGGCAGCCCCTGATGTGCCTATGTCAGTTGTGAACTGTATTGTGGCACTGGGGAGTTCCATGGGGTTGGATGTGAGTTTGGAGGATGTGGAAGAGTTGGTGGAGGACCACAACGAAGAGCTAACCACAGAGGAGCTGCAAGAGCTTCAGCAGGAAGAGCAACAGATTCCAGCTCAGAATCTTGCTGCAGAGGAGGAGGAAGAGAGATGGAAGAAGGTGCCTTCTTCAGAAATTAAGG